TTGGGATCTTGCAGAGACGCCCTGATAAGATTAATGTAGTAAAATGAACAATTATTAGAATAATGATTTGTCTGCATAACTAGAATAATGATTTGTCTGCATAATTGCTAGAATGATGATGTAATGCATAATCACTGGGAAAATTCACTGGGAAAGTTCTGTGTCAGTAATATGTGGCTAACCAAATGCGCATTGCACATGGATACTTTGTATGTAGCAAAACCTTCCATTGTATGCCCGTGAGAAACGAACCAAATGTATTACAGTGTATTACCATGTGTAGTCCCTTTGTTCCTAAAAGAAGGATAGTATAAAAACTGAAGTCTAATCCCGCCCTCCTCGTTCAGAATTGCCTATCTCTATATGCCTCTGAACCTGCGCAAATAAACCTCTCTGCTAAACCCCTCTGGAATTCGTAAGAGTTCTTTCGTTTTCCACAAGAAGATGATAAGATAAGATAAGATAAGATAACCTTTATTGTCATTTTTTTTTTACTGTGGGCACAACGGCACACATCAAAAATGAAATTTAGTTGCCCGCTCTCAAAGTGAAACACATACATGACACACACCTAAACATACTATATACAACATATGTATAAACCTACACCTCTTCATGTACACAACAATCATCATCACTACAACTGAGCCAGGAGCTTCTTTTGTAAGAATTAAATGAAGGGAAAGCATCTACCTCTCTTGGGGATCAGTGAAGACTATTCCAGCCACTTCTTCATCTTGGGGGTGCAGGATAACGCCCCCCAAAACGACCTTTGCAACTGAGGGAAGCTTGAAGAGTGAAGGTTGACCCTACTTAGCTTCACAAGATTAGCAAATTGCTGCCTCATAAAAATGGATAAAGGTCTTGTTTGTAGGTGCAGATTTCTCCCATTAATAGAATGAAATACGGGACAAAACTTTGAAGTGCGCACCCACATTGCTTCCAATCTCTCTAGAAAGGAGATATTATTTTTCCATCTGCATTCCTGCAAGGCCTAAATCTCACTAGAGGGCAGAATTTCTTTTGAACAGCCGTCCCAATTTCCAGAGGAGTTAGATCAGGGATCTTCAAACTTGACCCTTTTATGACTTGTGGATTTCATCTCCCAGAATTTCTCAGCCAGGCACACTGGCTGAGGAATTCTGGGAGTTGAAGTCCACGACTCATAAAAGGCCCAAGTTTGAAGACCCCTGAGTTAGATTATCCCAACCCCAGAAAGGAGTAGGCCTGGAGACCACCCACTTGCCTGTAGCTCTCACCTGGTGGCCTGCTTGTCTGGGACTCCAACCTCTTCCCACATCAAAGTCACATGAAGTCCTCACATAATGACCCAGATAGTGCTGGAATTATAAAAACAAGTGGAACTGCTGAGATTGCCCTCACTAGATGATGTGGTCATGTGATGTCAGCCACATTAAGGGTTATGGTGGATCTACTTCATGGCTGGTTCCACTTGGTGTGGGTACAAGTGGCTGAGTCCTAGGCCCCTGCATTATGGGCTGTCCCAGAACCTAAGCCTTTTGCTGCTTCTTTTTAACATCTACATGAAACCACCAGGAGAGGCCATCCATCTTATGATATCCCATTAAGTAAATCCACCCAGACAGAACTGATACTCTGACAGTGCTGCCCAAGTGCTGCAGATTACCAGCTTCAATTCAATTCAACCCTGGCAATATTCATGTTTTCGCCTCCCCCCCCCCCAAGCCAGATAACATTTCATCTTTGACACTGGACAGAGTGGTACTTCCCTGGACTGAGTTGATGTACAACTTGTGTGTGTGGGGGTCTTCCTGGACAAATGGCTCCTGGTTGAGGAGGCCATGGTTGGGGCAGGGGCTTTGCAGATTCATCTGGTGTGCCAATTGTGCCCTTTCCTGGATCGGGAGGCCTTGCACATGGGTCACTCATGCCTTGGTCACCTCCTGTTTGGTTCACTGCACTGGACCACCCAGGAACTTCAACTGGCCCAGAATGCAGCAGTGCACACAGTTATGAAGGCCCCTCAGTTGCCCATGTAACATATTTTGTGATACGAGCTGCATTGGTTTGGTTTTTTTTACGGGTACAATTCAAGTTACTGGTTATCACCTTTAAAGCTATTTCTTTATTATAGCAATTGCAATTAGACAAATATGTACCACCCCACAATGCCTTATAGCACGCTCGGTTTACAGAGTCAGCATATTGTCCCCAACCATCTGGGTCCTCATTTTACCGATCTCAGAAGGATGGAAGGCTGAGTCAACCTCGAGCTCCGTCAGGATCGAATTCCAGGCTGTGGGCAGTCAGCTGGCAACACTGCATTCTAGCCACTGAGCCACTAGGGCACCTGTCATTGTTGTCCCACCTTTATTATTTCTGCATCTATCTGTTCTGCCAGGTCAGATAGGGTGGGCAAGCTCCTAGTCCCTTGGCTTAAATATTGCCAACTGATAGGAACTAGGAAGTGAGCCTTTTCCACTGTAGCTCCTGCCCTACGGGAACACTCTTTCCTGTAAAATTTGGCATGTCTTTTTCCTCCTAAAGCAGTGGTTCTCAACCTTTTTAATGCCGCGACCCCCAACCGGTCATAAGTCGAGGACTAAACCGGTCGTAAGTCGAGGACTAAACTGGTCGTAAGTCGAGGACTACCCAACCGGTCGTAAGTTGAGGACTTTCCCTGCCCGGGAGCGCCACGCATGCGTGGTTCCGCCCCCTGCGCCGGCCGAGGCGTAGCTGGCAAGCGGCAGAGACAGAGCAGGCCGACCACCAGTTGGCCCAACTCAAGGGAGGTAAGGCACCCACTGGAAAAGGGGAAAAAATGGCGGACAAAAAAAATGGCGGACAGCCTTGCTTGGCGACCCCCGTGAAATGGTCGATTGACCCCAAATGGGGTCGCGACCCATAGGTTGAGAACCGCTGTCCTAAAGGTTTCCTCTGCCCAGTCATGTCCGATTCTAGGAGGCGGTGCTGATGTCTGTTTCTTAGCTGAGAGAGCTAGCACTGTCCGAAGAGATTTCCGAGACCATGTGGCTATAAACCGAGGTGCACGGAACGCTGTTACCTTCCCACCACAGTGGTACCTATTTATCTACTCACATTTGCCTGCTTTCAAACTGCTAGGTGTGTAGGAGTTGCAGAAAGTAACAGGAGCTCCTCCTGTTGTGTGGCGGTCGGGTCTCTAACCAGTGGTGGGATTCAAATATGTGGATGCTGCTTCTGGAAGTCCATTCTGGGCCTGGGCAACAAAAAGTAGCTACCGGTTCTGCCGAACTGCTGCGAACTGGCTGAATCCCACCACTCTCTCTAACCCAGACTGTCAATGTTCCAGCTGACCTGCTCAGCATGTTTAACTGCTGACCATCATGCCTCCTTCGATAGTGAGGTAGGAAGCATATACATTTAATACCACAAATAAATGTTATTGATTCCCTTTTTATTCAGAAACTGAAGATGGCATACAGAGCACTTCCTGGGTAGCATCTTGGGCCAAGAAAGAGGATCTTTTCTCATTGTAAATCCCCCACCAGCCCACCTACTTGCCCAGAAATACTTCCTGCCTCTCGATTGGCATCTTAAATTAGCCTCCCATAGTTCCTGACAGCCACCTTCCTGTCTAACCTAACACTGAACTGGAACTCGTGGCTTTCCATCCAGGGTCCTTGATGCTTATGGTTTTTTTCTGGTTTTTTTTATATAATAGTAAACATTATATAATGTTTAATACCAATAATAAACATTATTTTTACTACGACCACAGAAACGTCTTCAGACAAGACTGGCTCTCTCAAGTAAGAAACAGAGATGAGCACCAGTCCCTATAGCAGGGGTAGGCAACCTTGGCTCTTTTATGACTGGTGGACTTCAACTCCCAGAATTCCTGAGCCAGCATGGTTCAGCTTGGAAACCTCTCTCTTTCCCCTCAGCGTGGCTGGCTCCAGGAATTCTGGGAGTTGAAGTCCATGAGTCATAAAAGAGCCAAGGTTGGCCACCCCTGCCCTATAGAATTGGACATGACTGGTCAGGGGAAACCTTTGCCTTAATTATTATTTTAAGCAGAAGATAATGCTAACAAGAACTAATACACTACATAAAAGAACAAAAAAGAAATCAAGAGTGCAAAAAGAAAAGGTACAGAGAAGTTACTTACCATTTCCTTAGTGAACATAATTAGAAATACAAAATGACCTCTTACTCTGTGATGATCAAAAAAACAACTTCTTTTTATTACCTGTTTTTTTAACAATCAAAACTGTAAGCCATAACTTCAATTTTTTTCTGTTTCACACAACTCTCTGAAGAGCTTCCAGTCAGCACTGAATGTAGAGAACGTCTTTTCTCCGATTGAGGAAGTCAATCATTCATCTCAAGGAAGTCCATCATCTTTGCCAACTGTTCCTCCATTGCGGTTAAAGTTGAGACTTTCCACTTTGCTGCATAGAATACAGGGGATGGTTGACTGACAACCACAACGGGGGCCGAAATTTTGGTCCTAAGTCATTGCGGTTGTAAAGATGCCCACGTGATCTCCTCTCTCGACAGCTGGAATCCTGCCCCCTCCCAAGTTGCGATCACTAACAGATCATGCAGGTCATCAAGCAGACAGAGTGAAACAGCGGCCTGCCAAAAGAGGGTGGGCAGTTCCTCTCTATGTGCAAAAGGGAATTTCTTTGCTGGTCAGCTTTTTTTTTTTTGCCAGCCCACCATAATAGGCCTTCTTCACCTGTCCTGTGTGTGTGGAAGGGAACAATTTCACTGTGCCGAAGAAAGGAAGCTCAGACAGGGCTTGAACCTCCCAACTCAGATCTCCTCTTCAGGTTTAACACTAAAACATGTCTAATTAAAAAAAATCAGGCAAATTGAAATAGTGAATTTTTCAGCTGAGCTTGCAATGAGTGATCAGAAATGATATTTAAATTATGCCTCGTGGAATTTCTTCTGTACGATAAGCGATGACTTCTGGTGTGATACACTGTCAGCCATCTAGACATTAAAATGGTTTCTCCCCTATGTGTAACCTTACATGATTTACAAGGCTAGACCTAGTACTGAAATTTTTCCCACACTCCAGACACTTGTATGGTTTTTCTCCTGTGTGAGTTCTCTGGTGTATCACGAGGGCGGAATTCCAATGGAAACTTTTACCACAATCCCGACACTGATATGGTTTCTTACCTGTATGAGTTCTCTGGTGTACTACCAGGTGATAATTCCGACAGAAACCTTTCCCACAATCAGGACACTTATATGGTTTTTCTCCTGTATGAGTTCTCTGGTGTATCACCAGATTGAAATTCCTACTGAAACTTTTCCCACAATCCTGACACTCGTATGGCTTCTCTCCTGTGTGTGTCTTCTGGTGTATCAGAAGATTGGAATTCTGCTTGAAACTCTTCCCACAATCTGGACACTCATATGGTTCCTCTCCTGTGTGAGTCCTCTGATGTATCACCAGATTGGAATTCTGAGTGAAACGTTTCCCACAGTCCGGACACTCATATGGTTTATCTCCTGTGTGAGTGCTCTGGTGTACCACCAGATTGAAATTCTTACTGAAACTTTTCCCACAATCTGGACACTCATATGGTTTCTCTCCCGTGTGAGTCCTCTGATGTATCACCAAGTCAGAATTCCGAATAAAACTTTTCCCACACTCCAGACATTCATACGGTTTTTCTCCTGTGTGAGTTCTCTGGTGTATCACTAGGGCAGAATTCCAATGGAAACTTTTACCACAATCCACACACTGATATGGTTTGTTGCCTGTGTGAGTTCTTTGGTGTACCACCAGATTAGAATTCCAGGAGAAAGCTTTCCCACAATCTGGACACTTATATGGTTTCTCTCCTGTGTGAGTTCTCTGGTGTTCCACCAGGTGGGAATTTCGACTGAAACTTTTCCCACAATCCAAGCATTCATATGGTTTTTCTCCTGTGTGAATCCTCTGATGTATCAACAATTCAGAATTCCAATTGAAACCTTTCCCACAATCTGGACACTGATACGGTTTCTCTCCCGTGTGAGTCCACTGGTGAATCAACAAGTTGGTATTCTGCTTGAAACTCTTACCACAATCTGGACACTCATATGGTTTCTCTCCTGTGTGAGTCCTCTGGTGTATCACCAGGTTGGCATTCTGACTGAAACTTTTCCCACAATCCTGACACTCGTATGGTTTCTCTCCTAAGTGAGTCCTCTGGTGCATCACAAGGTTGGCATTCTGACTGAAACTTTTCCCACAATAAAGACACTCATATGGTTTCTCTCCTGTGTGAGTCCTCTGGTGCATCACAAGGTTGGCATTCTGACTGAAACTGTTCCCACAATAAAGACACTCATATGGTTTCTCTCCTGTGTGAGTTCTCTGGTGTACCACCAGTTTGGAAGTCCGACTAAAACTTTTTGCACAATGTGGACACTCATACAATCGATCTACTGTGTGAGTCCTTTGATGCTTCACAAGGTCAGACTTTGAAGTATAAGTTTTTCCACAATCAGGACACTTATACGGTTTCTCTCCAGTGTGAGTCCTCTGGTGTATCGCCAGGTGTGAATTCCGAGTGAAACATTTCCCACAATCAGGACATTCAAAGGGTTTATCCCCAGTGAGAGTCCTCTTGTGTCTCACCAGAGTGGTGTGGCGTGCTAAAGCTTTAGCCACATTGGGAACAATGGTAGGCCTTCTCTCCGGTGCGGATGTTTCCATGAGGGAGCTGTTCTAAGTAAACTTTTTGCTACACTATGAGCATTTGTGTGGATTTTCACCGGCGTGGATCCTTTCATGCATAATTAGCTGTGATCTGCAATCTCTGTTTTTCCCACAACAGGACGTCTGCCAAGGTTTTCCAACACCAATATTCTTGGATTCTTGAGGAGGCCAAAAATATTTCTGATCACCTGAAGGTACTTTCATTCAAGCTGCTCTTTCCTTCCTCAAGGGCTTTAATTAATACCTGCCCATTTTGGCTATCCAAGGGACCTTTTCCTTACCACTGACTTCCAGTTATTTCTACTTTTTCTGAATTTGGAAATTATCCCCTTTGACCTTTCATGTAATGTTTCCTTGAGTTCCACATACTCTATTTTTTCCAGTTCAAAACTTTGTTATTCTCTCGCTTGTCTCTCATCTTCTGAGGAAAGAGAAGAGTTTTTATACTTTCTGCAGGAAGTAGAAAATATTTTGACTGATTATTTGTTTTAATGCTGCTTCTCATTCTCAGTCATTCAGAGTTCTCTTCTTGGCATCCTCTTTGTCTGTAAGATTCATATTAATAGATTAGTTTCATTACTGTTAAAATTAGTTTCATTATTGTTAAAAGTAGCCTACATGTATTACCATAAAAAAATATCAAGATGCTATTTTAACGTCTAATATTAATTATAATTCATTTGGCACATAAAAAAGATTTTGGTTCAAATCTCCACTCAATCACTAATTTTTTTTCCAATCACCAAGTATTAGCATTGCAAATTGTTATAAAATATTCCTGAAAATTCTGAATATAGATCAGGGGTCCCCAATCCCCGGTCTGTGGACCGGCATCAATCCACGGCATGTCAGCAACCGGGCCCCACAAACAAGCAAAGCCCCATCTGCAGGATGCAGGCAGCATGCAAAACCATGCCCCCCTCCTGCAAAATGTCCCAGGCGTGGATCTGCTCAATTTTTTTGATCTAATTTTAGAAAGGTGGGACAATAACAGATGAAATGTTGCCCAAATCCTATGCAAGATTTAAAAAATCCGTTTTGCCCACGAAACCCCTCGCTTGCCAAGAAAACGACACGTGAATAAAATCACAAGGAATCAACTGTTACCTAAACCAGTGTTTCTCAACCTTGACAATTTTAAGGCATGTGGACTTCAACTCCCAGAATTCCACAGCCAGCATTGCTGGCTGTGGAATTCTGGGAGTTGAAGTCCACATGCCTTAAAATTGTCAAGGTTGAGAAACACTGACCTAAAAGGTGAAGGAGATTTGGTGTGTGTGTGTGTTAAGAAATATGAAAAATAAAGATTTCGGTAAATCTCCCAGCAGAAAATCACAGGCAGCCGTTTTATATCGTGCAGCCCCAGAGAAATACAATTTGGAGAGAGAAAGAACATGCAGCAGCAGCAGCAGCAGCAGCAGCCGACATGTTTCAGCCTCGTCGCTTCGCTGCTTCCACACCGCCGAGGAAACCAAACCGCCCGACTTGCTCCCGGCTTCTCCTCCGACCTGCCCTCCACTCACCTCCCGGGAGCCGTTTCGACCCCTGAAACAGCGAAAGAGACACCCGCGACGCCATCCTCCTCTCCTGGGTGAGCCGGAAGAGGAAGTTCCTCTGCCCTTCTCCCAAATCCTCTCTAGAAATCCAATCCTCTATCGTTTCAACTCGTTCCGTCTCCGCCTCTACCCTTCCAGTAGACTACCGGTAGCAAAGCCATTACTGTACTATACAGTATTCACGGCTTTCTAGGCCCGAGTGTCGCTCGTTTGTAGATCGCCATCTAGTGACATAAGGCTGAATAACACGCTCTTCTATTTCTATCCTAAAGCGTTTGCAAGATGTTTTCATTGATTCCGTGGTCCGTTATGTGCCATTACATCGTATTCGACTCCCACCGAATACATGAATAGCTTTCGTCCATGACGATCTACCCCAAACCTTTTCTTTCACATCTCCCAAGAGTGAAGTCGTGGCCCCTGTAAGACATTTGTTATTTGTTAAGTGACTTTTGCCCCATTTTACAACTTTTCTGGCCACAGTTGTTAAGTGAATCACTGCAGGCGTTAAATTAGAAACAGAGTTGTCAAGTGAATCTGGATTCCCCGTTGACTTGTCAGAAGGTCACAAAAGATGACTTCAAGGCACTGCAGTCATCGTAAATATGAGTCAATTGCCGAGAGTCTGAATTTTGATCACATGACCACAGGGATGCTGCAATGGTCGTCAGTATCAAAAAATGGTCATGTCACTTTTTTCAGTGCCATTAGGACTTCGAACCGTCACTAAATGAACTGTTATAAGTCGAGGAGTACCTGTACATAGCAGGGCCAAGAAAAAGGGAGCTTAAAAAGTGACTGTCTATACTTGGTAAACAAAACTAATACACTTTTTAAAAAAAAATGTTTGAAACGGTTGTGAAAAGGATGGTAGTATCTATGTGCACATAAATGCGTGTCTGCCTGACACTTTTTTAATTAGAAATTCAATCTAATATTGAAAACACACAAAAACAATAGAAAATAAGCAAGAAACAAGAAATTGGAAAAAAAATACCCCATACAGTTATGCCTTCCCTTCTCCTTTCTATAAGTAATTGTTATATACATTCCAGTTTGGGAAATATGTCTCCTCAGCTAACCAGAAGGAAACCCTTCTTAAAAATGGATCCTGGCCTGAAGTCCATTCCTCAGAGAAATCCAGACCAACATTTCTCTTCCACATTGCTCACCATCTGTCCAGAACAATAGGGAGATTCTCTCTATACCAGGGGTAGGCAACCTTGGCTCTTTTATGACTCGTGGACTTCAACTCCCAGAATTCCTGAGCCAGCATAGCTGGCTCAGGAATTCTGGGAGTTGAAGTCCACGAGTCATAAAAGAGCCAAGGTTGCCTACCCCTGCTCTATACCATAGAGTCTATGGTATTGTGGAGCTGACAGAGAAGAAAGATAAAAGACACACTGAACTTTATGTAGGAAAAGGATGGGGATAGGTAGCCAGCTAGAGGATGGGGGGACAGAAAGAGAGAGGAACAGAGAGAGTATGTATAAATATGGAGATTAGGATCAAAGAAATGTAGAGGTTAAGAACAGAGAAAAATGGAATGGTAGTGTCATAAGCTTTTTGAAAGTATAGAGTAGGCATAGACCATATAGAAAAAAGGCAATTGCAATAGACAATCTTATATAGAGCCATTTTGGTGTAGGGCAGGGGTAGGCAACCTTGGCTCTTTTCTGACTCATGGACTTCAACTCCCAGAATTCCTGAGCCAGCATGGGTCAGCTTGGAAACCTCTCCCTTTTCCCTCAGCATGGCTGGCTCAGGAATTCTGGGAGTTGAAGTCCACGAGTCATAAAAGAGCCAAGGTTGCCTTCCCCTGGTGTAGGGGTTAAGGCCTCAGGATAGGAACTCAAGACGGTGAGTGGGAATCCTAGGCAGAAAGTCTGCTGTGGAGGCCTTTGGGTCAGTTCCTCTCCCAGCCCCAGAGGAGAGGAGGCCGGGAGGTCACCCACCTGCCCGTACCTCTCACCTGCAGCTCTGCTTGCCTGGGACTCCTGTCTCTTCCCACATCACTGACAAATGAGGTCCTTACTTAATGACCCATGTGATCCTGGAGTTGTAATGGCAACTGGAACTGCCCGGATTCCCCTATGTGAGGTCATGTGACATTGCTTTTTATAACCCCATTAAGGGTTATGATGGATCTTCTTCTACCTCCATGGCGAATTCCAGTCGGGATGGGTAGGAGAGGAATGGCTAAGTCCTAGGTTCCTGCAATATGGGGTACCCCGGGGCTGAAGCCCTTTGCTGCTCCTTTTTAGCACCTGCATGAACCCTCCCTCCCCCCCTTCCCCCAAGCACTGGGATAAATGGAGGCATCAGAAGCTTCATTTGTCACCAGGTTTTTGTTTTTATGCATTTGGTTTTAATAGCATGGTTTTTGTGTTAATTTTTGATAGGCAGCTGACCAGAATCTGTTTTAAGTAACATAGGTGGCTATATAAATGTTTTAATGTTGAATCCAACAAAGGTTCTGCTGAAGATGCCCATCTGCAAGTTGCTTGAGGCACAGTGCATTTCTTTATTTATCAAATGTATATGCCGTTCATCCCAGTTAACGTCTCCCATTTAACTCCTTGCAAGGAGAAACAATATCAGTTTCAAGCAAAAATGGCACCAGGCATCAACCTTGTTAGTAAAGCCAGGAGGCCTAGTTAAACTTCTAATTTGAACAAAAGAATCCCCTTTCTGGAATTCCCCGACTATCAAAATGTCATCAACTATGGCCTGTATTTCGAGGCTCTGCATTTTGCCATTTGCAATGTATTTTGTATTAGGGTTCCATTGCTGTAACCGCCTGGAGTCACCATGAGTTGGGCTGCCATATAAATTTTATTAAATAAAAATACATGCAACCATATTTGTATTCTGCCTTTATTACATGTAGAAATAACTCGAGGCAGAAAACATTCCTCCTCTATCTTCCTCCTATGCTTTCCAGTTATTTTCTGCAAAGGGTATGCTAGCTGGGGATTTATGGGGCTTGAAAGCTGGAGGACACCCAGGTTGAAGAAGGCTGGAGTTCTATGATCATTGCTGATCAAACAGCAAAAGAAATATCACCCCTAAAGCCCTTTTTGTAAAAATTCGACTCTTGTGTGTATTCATATTGAAATAAAATAACAACGATCACCAAGAGAAAGTTTAAAATATTTAAAAGCAATTAAAAGATTAAAAGCAATTAAAAGATTAAAATATAGGCAACCAAGCTTTCGTTGGGCTCTCCCGACATCATCAGGGTTAATAAAGGCGGTTTCGGGGAGGACTTATATGCCGCCTCCAAGTGCTTGCATCCAGCTACGTGACCGCGTGATCGGGCCCAGGTGTCTGGGCTCCTGCGCTCTGAGTGCGTTCTTTTTACTCGCGTGTAAACCCTTCACCTCCCTTCCCTGTTTATCATCACCTAGCCCTTGGATATCCTCACCGGGAGCAGCGGGGGATTCTTTCCCATACCTCCCATCAATTTTGCCCTCCACATCCTTAATCCTGCGTCCGAGGTTCTTCTCCTCAAACCCATTGATCCTGCGAGGTCCTGGTCCTGGATCAAACCTCGCAGGACCAATGGGTTTGAGGAGAAGAACCTCGGACGCAGGATTAAGGATGTGGAGGGCAAAATTAATGGGAGGTATGGGAAAGAATCCCCCGCTGCTCCCGGTGAGGATATCCAAGGGCTAGGTGATGATAAACAGGGAAGGGAGGTGAAGGGTTTACATGCGGGTAAAAAGAACGCACTCAGAGCGCAGGAGCGCAGACACCTGGGCCCGATCACGCGGTCACGTAGCCGGATGCAAGCACTTGGAGGCGGCATATAAGTCCTCCCCGAAACCGCCTTTATCAACCCTGATGATGTCGGGAGAGCCCGACGAAAGCTTGGTTGCCTATATTTTAATATTTTAATTGCTTTTAATCTTTTAATTGCTTTTAAATATTTTAAACTTTCTCTTGGTGATCGTTGTTATTATATATATATATATATATATATATATATTTACATTATTGTTATAAATATAGATGTTTTATATATATATATATATCTTCAAATCAATAAAACGTGAACACCAGGAGTACAATAAACTAAAAAAGTTTAATAACATAGATAATCACCAAGCTTTCGTCGGTATCTTCCGACATCGTAAGGGCTAAAATGCCAGTCCATGGGAGAGTTCCTTTATAGATAACACGTCGTTTGCGCCCGGCTCCTGGACCTTGTCACCGGTCCCAATTGATTGGGCTGCGCTTTAATTAAGGACCTCATCTATACACACACACACACACACACACACAGTGGGGCACTAATTGTGCAAGTTCTCCCACTTAAAAAGATGAGAGAGGCCTGTAATTGTCATCATAGGTAGATCTCAACTATGAGAGACAAAATGAGAAAACAAATCCAGACAATCACATTGTCTGATTTGGAAAGAATTTATTTGCAAATTATGGTGGAAAATAAGTATTTGGTCACCTACAAACAAGCAAGATTTCTGGCTCTCACAGACCTGTAACTTCTTCTTTAAGAGGCTCCTCTGTCCTCCACTCATTACCTGTAATAATGGCACCTGTTTGAACTTGTTATCAGTATAAAAGACACCTATCCACAACCTCAAACAGTCACACTCCAAACTCCACTATGGTGAAGACCAAAGAGCTGTCGAAGGACACCAGAAACAAAATTGTAGACCTGCACCAGGCTGGGAAGACTGAATCTGCAATAGGCAAGCAGCTTGGTGTGAAGAAATCAACTGTGGGAGCAATAATTAGAAAATGGAAGACATACAAGACCACTGATAATCTCCCTCGATCTGGGGCTCCACGCAAGATCTCACCCCATGGGGTCAAAATGGTCACAAGAACGGTGAGCAAAAATCCCAGAACCACACGGGGGGACCTAGTGCATGACCTGCAGAGAGCTGGGACCAACGTAACAAAGGCAACCATCAGTAACACAGTACGCCGCCAGGGACTCAGATCCTGCAGTGCCAGACGTGTCCCCCTGCTTAAGCCAGTAGATGTCCGGGCCCACCTGAAGTTTGCTAGAGAGCATTTGGATGATCCAGAAGAGGATTGGGAGAATGTCATATGGTCAGATGAAACCAAAGTAGAACTGTTTGGTAGAAACACAACTCGTCGTGTTTGGAGGAGAGAGAATGCTGAGTTGCATCCAAAGAACACCATACCTACTGTGAAGCATGGGGGTGGCAACATCATGCTTTGGGGCTGTTTCTCTGCAAAGGGACCAGAATGACTGATCCGTGTACAGGAAAGAATGAATGGGGCCATGTATCGTGAGATTTTGAGTGCAAACCTCCTTCCATCAGCAAGGGTATTGAAGATGAAACGTGGCTGGGTCTTTCAGCATGACAATGATCCCAAACACACCGCCCGGGCAACGAAAGAGTGGCTTCGTAAGAAGCATTTCAAGGTCCTGGAGTGGCCTAGCCAGTCTCCAGATCTCAACCCCATAGAAAACCTTTGGAGGGAGTTGAAAGTCTGTGTTGCCCAGCGACAGCCCCAAAACATCACTGCTCTAGAGGAGATCTGCATGGAGGAATGGGCCAACATACCAGCAACAGTGTGTGTCAACCTTGTGAACACTTACAGAAAACGTTTGACCTCTGTCATTGCCAACAAAGGATATATAACAAAGTATTGAGATGAACTTTTGATATTGACCAAATACTTATTTTCCACCATAATTTGCAAATAAATTCTTTCCAAATCAGACAATGTGATTGTCTGGATTTGTTTTCTCATTTTGTCTCTCATAGTTGAGGTCTACCTATGATGACAATTACAGGCCTCTCTCATCTTTTTAAGTGGGAGAACTTCCACAATTGGTGGCTGACTAAATACTTTTTTGCCCCACTGTATGTGTATGTGTGTGTGTGTGTATGTAGGTCTTTGGTTATTCGGGTTTTCTCCCGCGTAAAATTCGAAGTGTCTTGGCGACGTTTCGACGAAGTCCCATTCGTCATCTTCAGGCTGGTGTTTTCGGCTTCGTGCTTCTAGGAGTACTCCTAGAAGCACGAAGCTGAAAACACCAGCCTGAAGCCATCTAGCAAATCCTCACATAACCAGATACATGCACTTAACTTTTATCAAAGTAATATTTTCCAATTTTTTTCCTCTCCTCCGTCATGTCTAATATATGTTTGATTAAAAAGAATCTGGTAAGGAATTTGTCAGCTGTATTACCAAACGAAGATCAGAAATAAAATTCATGTCTTCTCTGCGTCCATCACTTTCTGCACCAAGTGGATTTTCTTATGTGTAGCAAGGGAGGAATTTTGTGTGAAGAATCGTCCACACTCTGTACATTTGAATGGTTTCTCCCCTGTATGTAAACCTACATGATTTATAAGGCTAGACCTAGTACTGAAACCTTTCCCACAGTCAGGACACTCATACGGTTTNTCTCCTGTATGAGTCCTCTGGTGTATCACCAGGTAAGAGTTCTGACTGAAACTTTTCTCACAATACAGACACTCATACGGTTTCTCTCCTGTGTGAGTCCTCTGGTGTATCACCAAGTCAGAATTTCGAGTGAAATGTTTCCCACAATCTGGACACTCATACGGTTTCTCCCCAGTGTGAATCCTCTGGTGTATCGCCAGGTCAGAATTCCGCCTGAAACTTTTTCCACAATCCAGACACTTGTATGGTTTTTGTCCTGTGTGAGTCCTCTGGTGTGTCACCAGGTGGGAAGGCCGACTAAAGCTTTTCCCACAGTCTGGACACTTATATGGTTTCTCTCCTGTGTGAGTCCTCTGGTGTACTACTAGATCAGAATTCCGAATGAAATTTTTTCCACAACGTGTGCACATATACACTTTCTCTCCTGTATGAGTGTTCTGGTGTATCATCAGGTCAGAATTTCGAATGAAACCTTTCCCACAATCTTGACACACATATGGTTTCTCTCCTGTGTGAGTCCTTTGGTGTATCACCAGGTTGGAATTCTGACGGAAACTTTTCCCACAATCCTGACAGACATACGGTTTCTCTCCTGTGTGCGTCCTCTGGTGTATCACCAGGTTGGAATTCTGATTGAAACTTTTCCCGCATTCTGGACACTCATACGGTTTCTCTCCTGTGTGAGTCCTCTGGTGTATCACCAGGTGATAATTCCGTGTGAAACTTTTCCCACAATCAGGACATTCAAAGACTTTCTCCCCAGTGGGAGTCCCTTTGTGTCTCACTAGATTGGTCTGCATGCTAAATCTTTTGCCATATTGGGAGCACTGGTAGAGCTTTTCTCGGGAATGGGTCCTTCCATGAATTATGAGGAAGCTGTTCTGAGTAAAGTTTTTGCCGCACTCCAAACATTTGTCTTTTCACTGTATGGATCCACTTGTGCATAATTAGCTGTGATCTGCAGTCTGTGTTTTTCCCACAATAGGCAGTCTGTGGGGGTTTTCCAAGACTGATATTCTTGGATTCTTGAGGAGCCCCAAAATATATCTGCTCTCTTACTTGGAGGTTGTCTGATTCAAGCCGCTCTTTCTTTCCTCAAAGGTTTTAATTAATGCCTGCCTATTTTGGCTACCCAAGATACTTTTTCCTTCCCACTGACTTCCAGGTATTTCCCACTTGTTCTTTATTTGGAAATTATCCCCTTTGATGTCTCATGTAATGTTTCCTTGAGTTGCACATGGTCTATTTTTTCCAGCTCAAAACTTTTTTTCTTGTTATTCTCTCCCTTGCTTCTCATCTGCTGAGGAAGGAGAAGAGTTTTCACACTTTCTGGAGGAAGTAGAAAAGATTTTGATTGATGGTTTGTTTTGTATTTTAATGCTGCTTCTCATTCTTTGTTGTTCAGATTACTCTTCTTGGCATCCTCTTTGTCTGTAAGATTCATATCAAAGGGTTAGTTTCATTATGGTTTAAAAAATGGCTGCAGGATATGTGAAAGCAGGAAAAAAAAACTTATATTATCATGAAAACATCAAAGTTCTACTTTAACCTCCAACATTAATTATGATTCATTTGGCATATAGAAGAGTAGTAAGATTCATGTTCAAATATTGACTCAATCATAAAATTCTCTTTTTGGCTTGGATAGATCACAAGTATCTATCTCTATATCTCTATTACATTCTATCTATCTATCTCTCACTCACTCACTCTCTTTCTATCGCTATATGTCTATTCTCTATCTATCTCTATTTCTATCTATCTCTATATACCTATTACTTTGTAACTATATCTATATCTCTCTTACTCTATCTCTCTATTACTCTCTATCTCTTTTATTCTCCATCTCTCTATATTGCTCTATCTCTATTGCTCTCTGTCTTTATTACTCTCTCTATTATTGTTTCTCTTACTCTGTTTCTCTCTCTCTCTCTCTATCTCTTATCTCTGTCATTCCTCTTACTCTCTGTCTCTCTCTCTCTCTCTCTCTGTCATTCTCTATCACTCTGTTTCTCTTACTCTATCTGTCTCACTTTGGGAACTGTTCTGCTTGCAAACTATTGTGTTTGTAAGTACAGTACTTTACAAAGATAAAGTTTGATTGCATTTGTCTTTTGCATTTGTAGAAATGCTAGCCAGGATTTACACAAAGAATTCTATTACGTTGTGTTTCCTTTTATTTTGGAGCTAAGTGTATATTACTGTAGTTTGTAGGTTTTAAATTTAAATTGCCTTCAAAAGTTGTGGGTGCCCCATCACTGAAAGCTTTTAAGAAGAGACTGGATAGGCATTTATCCGAAATACTCTCTTGTGAGAGCAGTGGGTTAGACTAGATGACCTCAAGTCCCTTCCAACATTGTTACTGTTGCAAGCCGAGAGTTCTGTAAATACCTCCCCCATCTCCCTCTGGGTGCCTGGCTAAAGCCTCTTAAGCTAATTAGTGACAAGTAGTTTTTTTTTTTAAGCAACAGCCCCTCCCCTCATCTCGGCAGCTGAAGGCCCTTTAGCTGCAATGGCTGCAAGCCCTGCTTGGAGGCAATATTGTTACTGAGTCCACACAGGAAACAGCTGATAGGCGGCCAGTGTGTAAATTGTGAAGTATTAGCATTGAAAATTGTTATAAAATATTCCTGAAAATTCTGAATATAGATCAGGGCCCCCCAATCTCCGGTCTGTGGACCGGCACCAATCCACGGCATGTCAGCAACCGGGCCACACAAACAAGCAAAGCCCCATCTGCAGGATGCAGGCAGCATGCAAAACCATGCCCCCTCCTGTCCGCGGAAAAAACCTTTTTTCATGAAACCAGTCCCTGGTGCCCAAAAGGTTGGGGGTGATTGATATAGATCAGTGATGGCGAACCTTTTAGAGACTGAGTGCCCAAACTGCAACCCAAAACCCACTTATGCATCGTCGGGTGCCGGGTGGGTGTGGTCCATTGGGTGGGTGTGGCCAATTGGGGGGTATGGCCCATTGGGTGGGCGTGGCTGCGGTGGTAACAGCAGACTGGGTGGGACTAAAAAGTTCAATCAATCAATTCCAACTTTGCAAGATCTTTTTTTTTCCCCACGAGAAGTTGAAATTGACTGATTGAACCTTTTTTTTTTTTTGCACACGGCGGCAGAGGCCTAAAGCAAAAAGGTTTTATAAAACCCAGCTGAAGGCCTAGGACTGGGGTGACGGTGTGTGTGCCCACAGAGAGGGCTCTGAGTGCCGCCTCTGGCACCCGTGCCACAGGTTCGCCACCACTGATATAGATTATAGAGATACATGTTTAATGCACACAGAAATACACACTTATAGAGTTATGTATATAAAAAAATTATGTGTATTTCAGTCTGTAAAATGTCCCAGGCGTGGATTTGCTCAAATTTTTTGATCTAATTTTAGAAAGGTGGGACAGTAACAGATGAAATGTTGCCCAAATCCTATGCAAGATTTAAAAAATCCGTTTTGCCCACGAAACCCCTCGCTTGCCAAGAAAACGACACGTGAATAAAATCACAAGGAATCAACTGTACCCGAAGGATGAAGGAAATCGGGGGGGGGGGGTATTAAGAAATATGAAAAATAAAGATTTCGTTAAATCTCCCAGCAGAAAATCACAGGCAGCCGTTTTAAATCGTGCAGCCCCAGAGGAATACAATTTGGGGAGAGAAAGAACATGCAGCAGCAGCAGCAGCAGCAGCCGACATGTTTCAGCCTTGTCGCTTTGCTGCTTCCACACCGCCGAGGAAACCAAACCGCCCGACTTGCTCCCGGCTTCTCCTCCGACCTGCCCTCCACTCACCTCCCAGGAGCCGCTTCGACCCCTGAAACAGCGAAAGAGGCACCCGCGACGCCATCCTCCTCTCCTGGGTGAGCCGGAAGAGGAAGTTCCTCTGCCCTTCTCCCAAATCCTCTCTAGAAATCCAATCCTCTATCGTTTCCACTCGTTCCGTCTCCGCCTCTACCCTTCCAGTAGACTACCGGTAGCAAAGCCATTACTGTACTATACAGTATTCACGGCTTTCTAGGCCCGAGTGTCGCTCGTTTGTAGGTCGCCATCTAGTGACATAAGGCTGAATAACACGCTCTTCTATTTCTACCCTAAAGCGTTTGCAAGGTGTTTTCATTGATTCCGTGGTCCGTTATGTGCCATTAAATTGTATTCGACTCCCACCGAATCCATGAATAGCTTTCGTCCATGACCATCTAGAGGTTAAGGACAGAGAAAGATGGAAAGGTAGTGTTATAAGCTTTTTGAAAGTATAAAGTAGGCATAGACCATATAGAAAAAAGGCAATTGCAATAGACCAGTGTTTCTCAACCTTGACAATTTTAAGGCATGTGGACTTCAACTCCCAGAATTCCACAGCCAGCATTGCTGGCTGTGGAATTCTGGGAGTTGAAGTCCACATGCCTTAAAATTGTCAAGGTTGAGAAATACTGCAATAGACAATGTTATATGAGAGCCATTTTGGTGTAGGGTTAAAACCTTAGGCTAGGAACTCAGACGGTGAGTGGGAATCCTAGGCAGAAAGTCTGCTGTGGAGGCCTTTGGGT